AAAAAAAAAAAAAAAAAATAACCTCTCTCACAGAATTGTGAGGTCTAAAGTCAATGTATGTAAAGCTATTATTACATGAAGGGGGGAATGCAATAACCACATTTATGATTATACACCATAGCCTAGGGCGGTGCCTGTGGCTCAAAGGAGTAAGGTGCCAGCCCCATATGCCGGAGGTGGCGGGTTCAAACCCAGCCCAGGCAAAAAAAAAGAAACAAATAAAACTCTGTCTCAAAATTAAAAAAAAAAAAGCCTAAAAGCTACTGGAAAGGAAAAAAATAGAAAATCCATGCAAAAACAAACAAACAAACAAACAAAAAAACAACACTGGTCTCTAGAAGACATGGATTAATATTCACAATGTTTCCCCAAAGGAAAAACATTAAGACTAGAATTCCTTTCCTAGTGAAGTGTCAAAAGTGTGAAGGCAGAAAAAAAAAAAAAAGGACATGTTCAGCTTTGCAAAGATGCAAACTTTTTTTTTTGAGACAACTTCTCACTCTGTTGGGCTAGAGTGCAGTATCATGGCTCACTGCAACCTCAAATTCCTCAGCTCAAGTGATCCTCCTGCTTCAGCCTCTTGAGTAGCTGGGACTACAGGTATGCACTACTATACCTAGCTAATTTTTCTATTTTTTGTAGAGATGGGTCTTGCTGTTGCTCAGGCTGATCTTGAACTCCTGACCTCAACTGAACCACCTGAGTTGGCCTCCAAGAGTGCTAGGATTTCAGGCATGAGCCACTATGCCTGGCCTCAAATTTTTTTTTATATCCAATGCAGCATTCTAAAAATAATTACTCAAAGAAGGCAAATAAAAAGAAAAGAAAGAATTACAGAAGATAGATGTGGGATATAAGAGGTAGTAGTAAGAAAAAAATTTTGCAAGTATAATTTACAGGTAAGTTTAAATAATTATTATTCATAAGATGAAAGAAAATAAAATACCTAGAACTAAAATTCTAGGTAATTGCAATGTACATGGGTCAGAATAAGATAATACTAAGGAAATGCTAAAACTCGTGTTATATTCAAGAGAGGATAGTTATTAATTTAAACTGATAAAAGTGTTTGATTACAACTGTTAAAATTTTAACAACAACCGCTAGAATAACAGAAATAGAACATAAAACTTCCATTTTCAATTGTGTGAAAAATGGAAAAGTTAATCAGTGACAGAGATTGAAAAGAAAAAACAGTAAAAGGTATGTGCTTGGCCAGAAAATGAGTCCTGTCATTTAACAAAAAATCATTAAATGAGAAAAACAAGGACCAATTACTAGGTCATAAAGCATAAAACGTCCGATTTCCTTAAGTACAAAGTTTGACAGTGGCTATCTCTGAAATTTCACATAGATACTTTTTGTTTTATTTTTATGATGAAGGTACATCCTCATTCTCTCAAATGCACAGTTTGGTTTGTGATTACCTTTACTATTTTGTTTTAGAGCAATTTTTGTGAAACTATGGATAAGTCAAAAATTCATGTCATTTTCAAATATGAGTTCCATTGTGGAACCAGTGCAGTGCAGACAGCTCAAAATATCAACAAAGTGTTTGGGAAGGATGTGGCAATGAACACACAGGAATGCTGATGGCTTGAGAAGTTCCCTTCTGGTGATTTTAATCTTAAAAACGAGCGGGCAACCTGAAACCAAGGGGGATAACGATGAGCTGAAAGCTGTAGTGGAAGTGAATCCATCTCAACCTATGTATGAATTAGCAAGGTTTGACGTTACTATTTCAACAGTATTGGACCCCTTGAAACAAATCAGTAAGGTAAAGAAACTGCATAGATGGGTTCCGCATGAATTAAATGAACCTCAGAAGAGAAATCAACTCAAAGCTTGCCTTTCATTGCTGTCACAACATACAGGCAAACCTTTTCCATACCTTATGGTTACCTGTGAAGAAAAATTCTTTTTGGCAATCACAAACATTCAGCACAAAGGATAAATACAAAGTGCTGAAACACAGCCAAAACCAAGTATTCATCACAGGAAGCTAATGGTGTCTGTTTTGTGGTCCATTGCTGGAATTATCCACTTACAGCTTCATGAAACCTGGTCAATCACTTACAGCAGATGTCTACTGCAAACAACTGGATGAAACGATGAAGTTGCTTGTGATTAAGTAGCTGGGCTTGGATAATAGAAACAGGCCAATCCTTTTGCAAGGTAACACTTGACCACACAGTGCACACACAGTGTTTCTCGAAGTACCAGAGGCTGGAGTTGGAAGCAATCTGTCATCCACTGTGTTTGCCAGACTTTGCACCAACTAACTACCACTTCTCCCAGGATTTGTACCACTCCTTGCAAGGAAAAATACTCAATTGTCAACAAGCTGCAGAAAACGCCTTTCATGATTTCATAGACACTGCTCTCTAGGCTTCTTCACTGCTGGCATTCACTTCACTGCAAGCACCATTAAGATAGCAAAACTGTGAACAGTGTACTGCATATTTTGATTATTTGTACTCCCTTCTGTTTGACATATAATAAACTAACTCTTGATTTGAAATGAGACATTTGTATCTAGTGATTTGAAATCTCTTGATTTGAAATCAGACATATTTAGTGTATCAATATATTGATACAAGGTATAACTCAGCAATAAGATATTTGAAGTAAACCTTTGTTTACATAGTTTTAAAATCTAAAAAGCAAAAATTTCTAGAAATTTGACAACTACATAACTGACAACTATGTAATTAAAGTAGGAGACTGTGAGAGTTCTCTGAAATTGACAGACCAAAGAATCAAAAATAGTAAGAAAATAGAGGAGCTGACCACACAATCAACAACTTGAACTCCAAGGGATGTGTAAGTCTGTATATGCAACAGAAAATACCTATATCTTTTAATACTCATGGAAAATTTATAAAAATTGATCACTTATTAGAAAAATAGCCTGGGTTCGGAACCTGTGGCTCAAGTGGCTAAGGCGCCAGCCACATACACCTAAGGTGGTGGGTTCGAATCCAGCCCGGGCTGCCAAAACAACAATGACGCTGCAACCAAAAAATAGCCGGGCATTGTGGCGGGCGCCTGTGGTCCCAGCTACTTGGGAGGCTCAGGCAGGAGAATC